ATTGGAGTTGACAAGTGTTGTCCTTTGTCAGCCGTGACTCTAAATGAAGGATTTTCAAAATAACTATATAGAAGCTGCGTTATATTTTGTTACCTATCAGTAAATAATGATGTCTCCAGAGTTCTGATAGATTTGTTAGTCTTGCATCACTGCACAATAGAGTGGTTTTATCCACATTACATTATATAGCCACTCACAGACGGTACTTATTCATTTTTTTAAGATAGATAGAGGGAGAGAGAGAGATAAATATTTAAACACTCGAAAAACTATGTGGATCAAAATTTGTTAGCAATGTGATTTGTTTATATACTCCCTGATCTCCTTTTTTAAATATATGAAAAATGTTATGTAATTACTACAGTGTATTCATTAAATTGAAAACTATGGATAACTAACAAGGAATTATCATGTTTAGGCCAAATTATGAAACAGGAAACATAGATCCTACTCAGATAATTTTCCAGCCGGTTTATTTTGGTCTTATTTTGTTAGTTTTCCCCAATTCCTACCTTATTTAGTAAATAACACTCATTACAAATAAAAATATTTTTTCCTGAATCAATGCATGCAGTATATTAAAGGAACACTGTAGCGTTAGAAATACAAACCTGATCCTAAAACTATACTGTTCTCCTCATTATTTGGATTATTATGCCCCCATGCAAGGGTTAAAAAAAATTGCTTACCTTATATTCTGTGGCGCATTGGTCTCAGCATAGCTGATGACCAAATGATTTCAGACAATTCAATGCTTAATTGGGAGGCACATGCGTGGCTAATTGCTGCACTGCACCAATCAAATGCTTTCTACTATGCAATGCTTTGAATTGTAGTGTTAAAACTGAAGGGCAAATGCACCCTTTATTGTGAGGAAGTGGTCTCCGTGCCTTTAGTGTTAAATTATAGTTTACTGAGATATTGTAATTTAGGAATTTATATTACAGGCAGTCCTCACTTACCAACCGGCTCCATTCGTACGGCCCGGTCGTAAACCGAATTGGTCGGTAAGTGAGAATACTCTAGCGAGCATGTGCAAGAGAGCAGGTCTACATTCGGGGGATTTCCCCCGAACATAGACCAGTTCACTAGAGCAGGGAATCCCACCAATCTATGTTCAGGGAAACATCCCCGTATATAAATTAGCTCACTAGAGCAGGGAATCTCTGAAATCTATTTTGGGGGAAAATTCCATGAACATAGACCAGCTCTCTAACGTGGGGAACCACTTGAATTGCTATACTAGAGCTGGTTGTAAGTGCGAGCTGTCGTAAAACAGTTAGGCCGTTAAGTGAGGACCAGCTGTTTCTGAAAAGTGAATACAATACTTGGTCATCAGTTTGTCCTGCTTGTCAAACCATTTTGGGGGCTGCAGAACTGTATTTAGAGGTTTGTCGAAAGGATTTTGCATCAGCACTCTCTGTAAATATGTTCATATTGTTATCCCTCAACTAAAGTTACATGGATGGTGACATCACAACCAATTTGCAACATGAGGACCTCTAATTTTAAACAGCAGCCAGACATGTCCCAACTTTTATTCCTTAAAAAATTGTAAGACTACAAAGAGTTTTCCTTGATAACAAAGGCGTGATTGACACTCATTTTAATGCATTATTTAGATAATGTTGCTATATATTAAAATTTAAAAAGATACATACCTTTGAAGTTTTTATGTCTTCTGTTTATGCCATGGGCTTACAGCATCTTGCAGTGACCTTTACATAAACTAGGAAGTAACTACATCTATCACACAATCTTAGCTCTCCAATTTTTCTAATTAGAAGGGAGAGTTCCAATTTTTGGTATCCTAATTCTGGGGATGATAAGAGTAAAGTGCAGCCCAAACGTGATTAAAAGCATTAGCACTGCCCAAGGCGAAGGCATGTCAGAACACACGCAAGGGCTTCAGTAGTGCTCTGCGTATGGGCAGTCCCACTTCTACGCTTTGGATAACTTTCCCCCTTTACCAGTGGCTATGTACATCACACCACTACTCTACCAGTGATCACACAACTACTCTGGCCCAGCCACCAACCTGTCACCTCCATTTCCCATTGTGGGGATTATGGGATATATAGTTCAGCAGTAGCACAGCTGATGAGATAAGATGGATGAAACTGTGTCCTCAGCAAATAACAGTGCCACTGTGGCTGCTATCACTTACTGACATATCCAGTCACAGTTTTGTAAATTTACCAATAGATTTCCTCTTCAAATTAGGCTGTTAAGGATCTGCTTTAGAGGAGAAATGGACTTGTTCAGGTACTTGCCAAAGTTAAGTGCAAGCGTTGTCTTCTGCAATCTGAGTGAGGGCTGGAAATATAGCTCCAACGATATTTGAAAATGATCTAGGGTTATGAGCAAGGCCTGTGTTTCGATCAGGCCACTGTTCAAGAAATGGTACCTTCAATTTTTTTTATTTTTTTTTCCACTACCACAGATCTTCAAATGCTGTGGACTGAACTGGCTCACCGGGAAAGAGTAATTGACCTTGACTTAATGCCAGCTGCTTTTACCCCTTCTGTAGCACAGTTTACTGAGTGGATGCTTTCCTAAGTCACGTAGGGGTTTACCTTGTTACTTGCGTTTCCTGAAAAGATTTTAGTTTCAGTTTCTAAAACATTGCTTTAAATTAAATGAATCCGCTCAAAACTAGAATTCATTATCTCTATTTCTCTGCTGTTCAATTTAAATACCTAATATTTAGGATACAAGGGCTTTAATATTCTGGACAGAAAATAACATTAAACTGTGAGTTGACACCTCGCCAGCACAGCCAACCTTCTATTTTTATTATTACTGGAATGTATAAAGTGCCAACATATTCCGCAGCTCTGTACAATTGGGTAGAAACTATACAATAAAAACGGGCAAATACAAAAGGTAGAGGGCCCTGCCCGTGAGCTTACAATCTATTGGTTTCATATTGTGCCTCGAGTTCTACTGATCCTTCTTCTCTTGTTCTTAACATATGCACTCACCGACAAACCCACCTGGAGTCAACACTCTACATTTTTTTCATATTTGAAATATTAGCATTTAATCAGTGTAATGCCTGTAATAGCTCGAGTCAGATACGCAAACCTAATTTTATAACATGACAGGAGGCTTCATATTTTGCATAATCTTCTTTACTCACTCCATAGCAGCGAAGAAAAAAAAAGTAAGAAAACTGAGAACCAATCAAATATAAGCAGTGACTATAAGAGGCGTAGCCAAACAAATCACTTCCTCTTTCTTTGCTGCTCCATCACAAGAAAAGTACTGAGTATATTTCCTCTTTGTATTTTTGCTATTATTCTATAAATTTTCTATTATTGTTCTGTTAGAAATAGTTTTCTAGCTATTATCGGTTATTTGTTGTTTTTTGTTATATGTGTGCTTGAGGGTCTCCTCTCCCGTCCCACAGCCTGCCTCCGGCTCGCTGTGGTCTCAGGGCGTCTCCCTCGGACTACACGTTCGCGGCACGGCACTTTCTCGCGCTCGTACAAACACTCAGGCACGTTCGGCTGCTTTCCACCGAATGGGCATCTTTCGTCCCACAGACGTCTGCCTAGTGCGAACTTTCAGGATTTGTTTTCTCCTTCGTGCGCTCACAATTTATTGGCCGTGCATAAATGCCTAACCGTTTGGTCCCCGTTTTCCCTTTGGGTTGCTTTTGCGTTCGATCTGCCGAATGCTCGTTCATCTACCGAACGTTGGAGACATGCCTGATTCCCGCGTTTTTTCACGCGTGGTCCCACTGCTCCATTTTGGCTCCGTAATCTCGCGGGAACCGCATGGCCATCTTAGGTACTCTGGAATCCCCTCAGACTGGCTGTCTCTCTCTGCTAGTGCTGGGCACAGGATAAACTGCGGGACGCCATCAGGCCTCTGTCCCGGGTGATGTATGTGGCACATGACGCCTATACCCGTGCGGATACTTTCACCTCAGATTTTGTGCGCGAGTGGGTACGCGATATGAGGTAGTGGGAACAGAGGAGCTTTTGCTTCCTCGGCAATACTAATGTTGCCCTCTCTTTGGGGAGACGCCGAGCAGCACTTTTCCGCATAGACTAAAAACTATCCGATCTCGGAGCGTGGACCCTCGGCACAGGAAAAAAATTTCGGAGAGCGCTTTCTAAAGGAACTTAACAAACACGTTAATATATTTACTTTACTGAATAAGACTCAGTCTACAATGCGAAGAGTCTTCCGCAATCCAACACCCAGAAGTGCTTTTGGCAGGCTGGTTGGCAGAGGGTCGCTTTTGGCCATCAGGCCCTCATACAAATCAGCACCAACCCTTCTACCCAGAGGTGGGAAACCGCCAATGCTTCCATTATTCCAGACGCTCGGACCGCGGTCGCGGTGGAAGAGGTCGTTCCTGCGCAAGATTCACCTCTGGTAATCACTTTATTTTCCCTTCACATACTGTCCAAGTAGCAGGCCTCGTTTCTCTTTTTTTCCAGAACTGGGCAGACCTTTGGGGAATTGGGGAATTTCGCCCCGTCATCAACCTTCGAGAACACTTTGAACACTCACATAGTGTACCGTCCCTTCAAAATAGAGGGTATTCATCTCCTTCAGGACCTGCTCCGGTACGATGACTGGTTCACCCAACTGGACTTCTAGGATGCATACCTTTCGATTCCCAACCACGAAATGAGTCGTCCGTTCCTACGTTTCCTCTGGCACGGGGCCACGTGGCAGTTCACATGCCTGCTGTTCAGACTCAGCTCAGCTCACTGGTGCTTTACAAAAATGCTGAAACACATAGTAGCGCACCTCCAGGCTCAGGGGCTACGTTGCATCATATATCTAGACGATATCATACTCTTCGACGAGTCCAGGGATACGCTCCAAGTTTACACTACCTACACTGTCCAGTTATCAGCCAAAATTGGCGCTGAACCCCTCTCAGACAGTACAGTTCCTGGGATTTGAAATAGACTCTGTATCCTGTACCTTGCATCTAGCTCTCCAGAAGGTCTCCGCCATTCGAAAAGAGATTCGCAAAGTGAAAGGAGAAAGAGGATGGAGAGGGTAGCCTTAACTTCTAAATGTTCACAAAAATATCTATATATTTTGTGAACATTTAGAAGTTAAGGTTACCCTCTCCATCCTCTTTCTCCTTTCATTTAATGTAACACTCAGGCTCCATTTCTTCTTTTTTCTTCCTTTTTTCTATTTGATAAGAGATTCGCAAAGTGCTTTGAACGCCATCCATCCCTCTACGATTGCTTTCACGGATCGTGGGTCTGCTGTGCTCCTCCATCCAGGCAATTTTCCCAGGCCCTTTACATTATTGGGCCATGCAACGCCTCAAGGTATCTCAAACCCCACATACTTTGCCGAAACCCTACATGCGATCAACCTGTACCGATATCCGACGAAGTCCGCACAGAACTTCAATGGTGTTTGTATGCAGGCTTGTAACAGCCAAGCCATATTTGGCACTCAACCAGATTTCATCTTGAAGTCAGATGCCAACCCTCAAGGCAGGGGGGCCACAGACGGTACGACTGCCACTGGAGATGTATGGACTTCCCAAGAATTGGCTATGCATATCAATTGCCTGGAACTCCTGGCAGGTTCATTCGCAATATGCAACCTCACGAAATGAAAATCTGATTGCTGCATCTTGCTCCGGATGGACAATGACTCAGTGGTTCATTACATCAACCGCCTCGGAGGCACCCGTTCGCAGGCACTGGTGAATCTCACAAAGAAAATTTTCAACTACTGTCTACCGCGAAACATCACTCTGCTAGCAGAACATTTGCCGGGAGCATCCAACCTCACAGCGGACTTGTTTTCTCATCACTGGCGGGAAGGAAGCGACTGGCAATTCAGCTGGCGACTGGCAATTCAGTTCTTCAGCTGGCTTTTGGACCCAGAGAGCGTTGTGGTGGATGCCTTCCTTCAGACTTGGCTACACCACGAAGCCTATGCCTTCCCACCATTTGCAATGATAGCGAGAGTCCTACACCAAGTCTGTCGTCAGGATGTGGCGCTGATGCTACTCACACCAGTATGGCAGAGTCAACCCTGGTTCCAGACCTACTGGAGTTATCTTACGAGGGCCTCCTCCTCGTGCCGAACGACCCATCAGTCCTCAAGAACCCATTAGGACAATCGCACGCGATGATCCCAGACGGCCATCTCCACTTAGTGGCTTGGACACTTTCCACGCGATGATCCCAGACAGCCATCTCCACTTAGTGGCTTGGCGCATCAGAGACTTATCGCAGGACGCTAAGGACCTTGTCTGGGACTACTGGGCACCAGGGACGAGAAGATGCTACCACTCAGCCTGGCTGTCCTGGTCCAATTGGTGTCTGGGACGAAACCTCGATCCCTTTACAGCCCCTGTATCCTCAATACTGAATTTCCTCTCATCGCTATTTATCGCTGGGAAATCTTATCGTTCCATTAACAGGGTTTGGTCGGCTATCTCAGCAGCCCACATGCCATCGCAAGGAATTCCGGTGGGGCAAGATCCCCTTATCTGCAGCCTTCTCCTTGGCATCCAATTGTGTCGTCCTTCAGGACCCAGATATTCACAGCTTTTAGACGTCGGGAGTTGTCCTCCAGTTTTTGTATAACTGGCCCTCTAACGAACGACTTTCGCTATGGCAACGTATGGCCAAGTTTACTTTTTCTTCTCTGCTTGGTCTCTTTCCGACATGTTGCGGTCGTGCGGGCTTTTGACGCGGATGCCTTCACCTTGTCCCCTGAAGGGGTTACTTTACATATCTCCCATTGCACCAAAACCGACTTTGGTTTTCTATCCGTTCTTCCCTTCAGATCCTCAACTTTGCGTGGTCTTATGTTCGACCTTACAGTCTAGTTTCAGTCACTACATTAGCCAGATGGATCCATTGGCTTTTATCTTTGGCAGGGATAGACCCGGCTTTTGGGGCACATTCGGTGCGGGTGCTTCACTCCCTGATATCCTATGCGCAGAGGATTGGACATGTGAATCAACGTTTCGGACGTTTTACTTTCGTCGAACCCCGCTTTTTTTTTTGCTATCTGTGTTGAAATTGCAAAATATGAAGCCTCCTGTCATGTTATAAAATTAAAGATTATGCTAGCTTTAGTGTACTAATAATCTTAATTTTAATCAGGACAGGAGGTGAATATTTTCCCACCCTCATTATCTATATTCTTTTCCCACCCTTTGAATTACTTTGGCTACACTATTTCGTTAACCCTATGTCTGTTTTCGATGATATTAACCATGTTCACTGTTTGTTTTCTGTAGGTATATCTACCCTTGGGTTTTAACTCTTGGCGTGATTTTTCCAGATTTGTTTAGTTAGTTAGGGCCAGGGGATCTGGTTTACATTCCTATTTTCATATAAGTAATAATATACGTTTAATGACAATTGTATGTTAGTACAGTTCAGTCAGGGCTGTCACTGCATGGAGGTTATTTCATTCTAGTAACACTTGTTACACTCTCTTTCAGCTTAATTTAAATTTTCTATGGATTCCCGCCTGTTCCTGACTGTCAAATTTGAGATTACTGTTCCTGTATTGGTTTTCTTTCTACTACGTTGCTACTTCTCTGTTTAGATTAATTTATGGACTTGTGATGTTGCAATCTTTCAGCATAATAATAGCAAAAGTACAAAGAGGAAATACACTCTACATACTTATCTTGTGATGGAGCAGCAAAGAAAGAGGAAGTGATGCTGTTGGCTACGCTTATAATTGATTGGTTCTCAGTTTTCTTACGTTTTTTTCTTTGCTGCTATGGTGTGAGTAAAGAAAGATTATGCAAAACATTCACCTCCTGTCCTTATTAAAATTAAGATTTTTATTACACTAAAGCTAGCATAATCTTCAATTATCTTTGCTCTTACTGTATATCCTCACCTTTGGTGTCCTGGTGTGCACCTGCTACATCTGTGTTTATATCATCCTTCAGCCTTGATATGTCTATACCATGTTAATAGAAACAACACCCGACCATGAACAGTTCTGCTCTAATGGAACAGACCCCTGCAACATGTTCACTGTTTAGAAACATGCCCGTATGTGGTGATGACATGCTGCTGTGATGACATTACTAACATCTGGATGACAACATAGATTAGGAAGGAAAAATATACTCGGAAACTGACTGGTGCTAATTGCCTGATCGGTACATATTCTTATATCAGATACAATTATTATCAATGGGGAAATTAGAGTAGCATTCAGAATAATGAATATCTGGAAAAATAACTGATGCTAAATCCATATAGTGTGATAAAGTAAAAGGTTACAATTAATGGAGCCTATTAGAAATCCCACTATTTTCGGATTACAGTTCATCGTAGTAGTTGCATCTGTGCAGCTGAAGGCTCTGTAAAGAATGCACTGGTAGTTCTATTTGTGCTTATCTGGTTATGGAGCAGGTGGGCCGCCTTCTATCTATATTTCTAACAGCAATGAAAGGGATCGAGTTCCCTGCTGTTGTGAACTAATAGTCAAGCTGAAGGTCAGGATGCTAGGTGCAAACTGCGAGAATGAGGACAGAGGGAATCAGCACCTTAAACATATCCTCAAAATCCAATCAGGAAAATTCTATATGCAAAAAAGAAGATAAAAAACAAAAATATAGTGTAGTATTTTCAGATAATTGGTGAGATAAAACATATTTACTGCAAGAAGACTCCTTAGAAGAGATATATCATATTCTGGGGATAATGTAGAAACACTGTAGAAGAATTCTTACAGGGTGAAGTAATTTGTTCTCTGAATAGGGGAGTTTTAACAGAGCTGTCACACTGGAGACTGTAAAGGGGAAACGAATAGGATGATGTTAGGATGATGTTATTATTTTATTACTTATATAGTGCCAGCAAATTCTGTAGCGCTGTACAATGGGTGGACTAACAGACACATAAGTGTAACCAGACAAATGGACACACAGGAACAGAGGGGCTGAGGGCCCTGCTCAATGAGCTTGCATGCTAAAGGGAGTGGGGTATAGTGACACAAAGGGCATACGTAGGGGTAATGAAATAGGTTACTAGAAAAGTATTCACTGAGAACTTGGGTTATTTCTGACAGTTGCAGGAGAGGAGTCATTGGGGGAGGGGAATGAAAACCCGCTAACAGTTTAAATGATATGCTCTCCTGAGGAAGTGTGTTTTCAAAGATTTTTTGAAGGAGTGGAGACTGGGTGAAAGTCTAACGGAGAAGGGAAGGGAGTTCCACAGAAAAAGGTGCAGCCCTGGAGAAATCTTGGAGGCGAGCATCAGATGTGGGAGTAAGGACAGAGGATAAACGTAGGTCTTTGGCAGAGTGCAAGGGCCTCGACAGGACATACTTGTGTATTAGGGAGGTTGGTGCAGCATTATGTAGGTACTTGTAAGCAAGCACCATAATCTTAAATTGAGCCCTATATCTAACTGGAAGCCAATGTAGGGACTGACAGAGGGGGGAGGCGTGGGAGGTGCGGGCGAACAGGAAAATGAGCCTTGCCGGCACATTCAGGATTTGACGATCGACTAGACATGAGGGGTGAAGGAGAGGGCGGAGTCAAACAGAAAATCTAGGCAGCGAGCCTGTGAGGTAGTGGTGATGGTGGCGCCATTGACTTGGAGGGAGACAGACATTGGAGTAGTAACACTTTAGGGAGGAAAGACCAGAAGTTCTGTTTTTGACTAGTTGAGTTTAAGGAAGTGAGCAGCCATCCAGTTGGTAATCGCGGAGAGGCAGTCAGAGACACGAGTCAAGGTGGGCAGAGAGAGATCAGGATAGGACAGGTAGATTTGTGTGTCATCTGCATATAAATGATAATGGAAGCCAAAAGAGTTGATGAGTTTACCAAGGGAGGCAGTATAGATGGAGAATAGTAGGGGACCAAGGACAGAACCCTGGGGAATGCCAACAGACAGGGGTTGGGGAGAAGAGGTAGAGCCAGAGAAAAAAACACTGAAAAAGCGCTGGGAGAGGGAGGAGGAGCACCAGGAGAGAGTAGTATCTTGTAGACCGAGATTATGGAGAATGAGAAGAAGCTGTTGATGATCAACTGTGTCAAAGGGAGCAGAAAGAACAAGGAGAATTAGGATAGAGTAATGGCCATGAGATTTAGCAGTGATTAAATCATTGGATACTTTGGTCACAGCTGTTTCAACAGAGGGA